GCTATCAACTGTTTCAACAATATCAGAGTTGGGTCCTCACAGGAGTCTGAATTTGCCTGTATTCTTGGGGTTGTCCCAAATTTTATTCCTTGGTCTCCAAATCACTGAGCAAATAACTCCCTTGTCCCCTCAACTTTTTTTTTTTTTTTTGGTTTTATGAGACAGGGTTTCTCTGTATTGTTTTGGAGGCTGTCGGTCCAGCCCGGCCTCGAACTCACAGAGATCCGCCTGCCTCTGCCTCCCGAGTGCTGGGATTAAAGGTGTGCACCACCACAGCCCGGCGTCCCCCCCAATTTTTATGTATACCTACCTGATACCCCTTAGCAGTGCCCATCCTAATATCCCAGGAAGGCCCAGCTAGAGTTGTAAAAGATCAGGTCAGGTGTTCCCCATGTTCATCTAAATGCCTTCTAGCTATATTGACTCCCCCGCTCATTGTCTATGAGGGCTGAATCCAAGAGCTGGACATGTAGGAAGAGAGTAGACCTCAGCCACCCTTCTGTTTCTCTGTATTTGCTGTCCAAGAGGGGATGACATTAAATGGTCACAACATTCTGTCAGGGCTTTTGCAGGGGCCTTCCCACAGCGACCTTCAAAGAATGACAGCCATCCTATGGCTCATTTCTCTCTACCCCGTAGTCTCTTGGGGAGTTGCTCAGGCTCGCAGTTAGATTTCCTAGGACTCAGTCAGGGTGGTGGTGAGGAAGCACACTTTCTTGTCATGTAGCCTCAGATAAGCCACTTTCCTTCTGAGACCCTCAGTTTCCTCAGATGTCTAACCCGAGAGATTGACCTTGCGCCTTGTGACAGGACTGGCTCCCCTTGTGCTCCGCCAGCCGCCCAGGCAGCCCACGCTTTCCAGCAATGATGGGGCCTCCTGCCTGTTACCTGGAGAGCAGTAATCGGCCCAGAAATCTTGTTGACAAAGCTGAGGGCAGAGTTTCCACTGGAAAAAAAGCAGCTTGCAGGAATAATTGTTGCTGATAAGAAGTGGAAATCCATCTGAGTAAACCATGGGCCTCCTTCCCCATCGCCTGGGGGCTCCTAGCTCTGAATGTTGCCTGGCTTTAAGACACTGCTTGTACACCCAAAGGTGATGGGACAGTTAGCCGAGAGATTCTTGAGAAATGGGAATTTGTAGTCCAGTTTCTATGGCATGACTCTCTAGCCCCTGATGCTATAGGGTACTGGTCCATGACGGGTCTCAGGGATGTTTATCTCCCAGATGGCTGATTAAGAACCGCCCCAAATGGTAAACTCCTTCCTGTCAATCGCCGGGGCCATCAGCGACTGAATTTACTATTATTCCGTTAGTGGCTAAGTAGATTTGGTAAGCATAATAAATGTGCATGTCGTAGTGCTGTGGCACTGAGGGTGGGGCAGCAGACAGTCCTGGTTGGAGCACAGGCAGCCACAGGCAGAGTCCCACCATGCCCTCTCCCTTGGGAAGGCCATGGAGGCAGACACAGCTTACACGAGCAAACCTTGCGTCAATGAAAATGAAATGCATCTCGAGTGTCCTTCCTTTCGCTTCCCGCTACTCCATTCACACCACGATACTGCAGGTCTTTTACTTTATGACAGTTTGCTGACTGGTGGCAGAAAAATCTCTTTACTTTGCACAATGACCCCATGTGGTGGCCCCTTCAAGCCCTCCCCTCAAAAGCCCCAGAGAGAACGACTTACTGGGCTCATCTGAGAGGAGCTGGCCCAGCACGGCCATTGGAAGCTGCGTGGCTTCTTTGCATAATGAACTTTCTAAGCAGGGCTTCACCCAAAGAGAGTGGATTGCCATGAACTGTGGCTCTCTATCAGGAAAACTGACCGGCATGTTCTAGAAGAGAACTAAGATGTTTGGGTCAGATCGTGATGGGTCGCCTTTCAGCACTGAGCTGAGGAGGGCGGACAGCGAAACAAGGGGTAATTTAGGTGCCGTTTGCTCGTCCAGTACACCTTCTCCCTCCCTCGTTTTCCTGCCCTCCTCCTGCCTCAGTTTCTTCTGGGAGATAATGCTGAAATTGTTCTAGACACAGAAAGTGGGTATAGAGCGCAAATGGTGCAGACAGAAGAAGTGTGTTGCCGTGGTTGGCCCTGATGTCTCTACGCTTGACATGCTCAAATGAAGAGACAAGTGAAAAGTTAGAAGGGACGAACAGAGCTCATCCTGGGCACAGGAAGATGGGGGTGAGGAGAAAGAATGAAGAAATGCGCATGTGCACAGAAGTCCACGTGCAGTTTTTGCAGCCACATAGGCCTACTTACCCCTGAGGGGCCCAACGTGAGGCTCTCCCTGTGGATGTGCGTGTTAGGAAAAATTCTCTCCTCTGTGGGAAATGACGCAGTTTCTCATTTTCTTCTAAAAGGAGCAGGAGCCGTGAGCCAGTGTCAACCAATAAAAAGGCAAGTTTTGATCTCTGGTTCCCAAGCTGGCTGAAGGTGCCTCTCCTGAGCTCTCATTCAGTATTTGGGGGTGCATGGGGTCGTACTGTTCACAGGGCATTATACCCTTTTCTCATTCAGTTGCATGGGGTCGTACTGTTCACAGGGCATTATACCCTTTTCTCATTCAGTTGCATGGGGTCGTACTGTTCACAGGGCATTATACCCTTTTCTCATTCAGTTGCATGGGGTCGTACTGTTCACAGGGCATTATGTTCTTCCTGTTCGTTGGCATTTTAAGATGAGTGCATCATCTAAGGTGTGTACGGTGGGCTTATCTGAGGGATCAGCGGTCATTCTCAGTGACAGCCTCATCTTGATGGGGCTTTCTCAGAACTGGAGAAGACTTCAGTGGCCAGCCGTGTGACAGTTCCAGGCCATCCATCCACACACTCGCAGCTCAGTCACCCGCAGGACTCCAAGGAGGATCCGTGTGTGTCATGTCCTGGACTTCATCTGAGCTCGGGGTCTTTGCTGATGGAATATGGCACATGTGTTTTGAGCTCGGCTAGTGGGGGTGGAGGGGAGGCAATAGTTGTGACATTGCTGTCGGGCAGGAACTGTGTGATCTCATTTCTTGCTAAGACAAGGTCAGAGCTAGGTCAGGGTCAGGAATAGGTTGCTCTGGGGACAGCCCCAGCAAAAGCAGTAGGATGTTCTCTGCTCAGAACACGATTACCGTTGGTTATGCGGAGTTTTTTTTTCCACTGGTGCCCACTTCGAGCCTGTGTCTTTGACCCACTTTCCTATCCACTTGCTCTTGGACCCGGGAGCTGACTCCAGCATAATTCTGAAAGGGCCACCCAGTGGCTGGCTGGATGACAGCTGTCTGTGTACTACACAGAATTTCCCGGATGCGGGGGCTGGCAGCATCATTCTTCCCCTATGACCATGGGGTTTTTTTGTGTGTGTTTCTGCATCCCCTCCTGACTTACTAGACGTGAATGTTATCTAGGGCTTACGGCTGGGGAGATGACTGAGAGAATCTCCACAGGGAGTGTGGCAGGGTGAATAGAGACTCTGCTTAAGCTCCAAACACAATCAACTTCCCTCGGTTTTCCCATCCTTAAGACAGGGATAATGACAATGCCTGACTAATGAGGGTGTGGTGAGGCTTAAATGAGTGAGTACTGTGAAGGTTCTGGAGCAGAGCCCAGGACAGAGCAATAGGTGTCTGATCTGATGATGTCACTGGGAGTGGGAGGAGTCTACAGAAGGCAACTTGGGCACTGGAGTCAGCTTGCCCTCATTCGCCCTTGCTTGGTACCACCCACTGCCTGGCAAGTCACTCAAGATGCTCTGTAAAATGGGGGTGCTCCCTGCCTCACAGGCCACTGTGAAAATTAAGTGAAACAAAGTGTGTACCACTTAGCAGGTCTAGAACGTGTTAGATAGTCTCTAGGTTTGTTTGTTGGTTTGTTTCTAAGGTCAAGGGCGACAGGTTGTGGTCTGTCTTTCCCCGGTAGGTACACCTCCCACCACTCACAGCCTAGCTCGGGTAGGGTCATCTCAGCTCCATGCCCATTGTCTTTCCCCCTGTTATCCCTAAGGAACTGGTGATACCCGAGGGGTGGCAAAGGGCTTGGGGGCTGGCAATTCCAGGGTTGGGCCCAGGTCTTAGAGGCCCCCTGGGCTGTTCGCTTCCCTACTTATCCAGGTCACAATGGAACAGAAATCTCTAAAGAGCAGAAACAGTGGGGGCACTAGACCTTCTCCAGTTGGGGTTTGCTGTAGGGACTTTTTTCAGGGTGCAGGTTCCAGTAACCTCTGTCTATGTATTTCCATGTTTACCTCCTATTGGTATCAGGGAGGAAGCGTGTGCGTGCGTGCCTGTCTGTCTGCCTGCCTGCCTGCCTGTCTGTCTGTCTCTGTCTGTCTTGTGGTCAGGTGTAGGAAGGGTGAAATTTTCCAGCCCCACCTTGGTAACCAGTCATATCACTGAGACCTAGAGTCTGGACCCTGGGTCAGGCCTACCTCCTCAGGCTTTGCATGTCTGGAAAGGAGCTAAAAGTGGCAGGAAACATCCGGTTGGAAAGCTGTGTGGTACTGTACCTAACCCCCACAGCACCTTCATGCCTACTCCCCCTCACTGCAGACAGACCACAGATGTCTGCCCGAGAAGGCACCCAAGAGACCGGACCCCTGGCTGCAGTCCCCTCCGGAACGGAGCTGCATTCAAGGCCGCCCTATGTTCTGGAGCATCCGCCAAATCTGGAGGGGGTCAGCAGAGTGCCAGGTCTCTCAGACAGTGCAGCAGGTGACAGGGGACCTTGCAGGAGAAAGCTGTTGGCACCCACCCTGCTCTAGCTGCGACCCTCACTTTTCACTGTTTGATGGCTGCTTGCCTTCTGTCTTGAGGGACAGCCGTTCTGACTGCTGCCTGGGTCCCTCCTCCTTCCTGCCAGCAACAGCCCTCATGCCCCCAAAGTCACTTCTTACCTGTTTTTATCTTAGGACCTAATTCCACTGGAAAGTCGTGTATGGCATGTTGATCTTCTTAAAGGACCGGCTGGGAAATGAAAGATCCTTTAGAAAAAAATGTCTCCCCTTGTTCATTCTAGGGTTCTTTTGTTCAGACGTATCTGCGAGACTTCCCAGGAGAGCATCCTTGGGCTCTACTCATCCCCTGCTCCTAAAGGTAGGTGTGTCCTCAGCAGCCAGCTCCTTAGCCTGCTCTCTGTGTTTGAGTGGTAAGGAGGGGTCATTGCCAGGAAGGTAGAAGGACAGGAGCACTGCCCAGTCTTTGCATGTGTGAGTCCCATAACAGCAAAATCCATTACTGAGACTCTCTGGTGTGTGGGGTAGGGTGGGAGCTAGAGTTCCTGGTCAGTGGGGTACTCCCGGTTGGTGGGGTGCTCCCAGTCGGTGGGGTGCTCCCAGTTGGTGGGATGCTCCCGGTCAGTGGGGTGCTCCCGGTCAGTGTGTGTCCTGTCTTCTCTTTCTCCCTTCTGCCCACCTTGCTCTCTCTTGGTGTCTCCTGGAACTTTTCACTTCCAGGCCCTTGAGTCCTGAGCCTCCCTCCTTTCTCCATCTGAATTCTGATGAAGCACTGATTTTTTAGCATCATCTAATAACCCCAAGCAGAGCTGGGCATTCTCTCTATTATCCTGCAAGGATCCTGTTCACTCTGCGTCTCTTGCGGCCAGATCTAATGCAATGGCTCCTAGCCCCACGCCAGGAGATCTCCTAATGACTTGAAGGCAGTGTCTCACTGCTCTAGTGGCTTGCACCAGTCACAGCCTCTTCAGTGAGCTCGTGCTGGACTGAACTGACTAGCATTCCTCCCCAGCTCCCACTGAATTCTCCTTTCCCACCAAACCCACCAGACGCTGGGAGCCTGGCTGACCCTAGCTCTGTAGCAACACGATGATGCCTTGGAGCAGCAGCATCATCTCCGACCTAGGGTGAAGCCAGAAGCATCCTAAACATCTTCTTCTAATACCCTGTCATGATGTTGGGCCCTGGGATCCTTGCCCGCATCTTGGATGCCTGCTATGTTCTAGTAACTCATAGACTTCACCTTGGACATGGGATCATCCTACAAACGTGTTCCACCTTTTGACAGTGCAACTAGACATTACCAGTCACAAAGTTCATGCTTGAGAGCTGCATAATTAAGTTAAAAAACAAAAACAAGCCCCCCAAAAATCAAACACGCGCACACACACACACCTTATAATGTTTTAAATAAGCTTACAATTTTGTGTTAAGCTACATTATAGCTATCTTTGGTGCATGGGCAACAGGTAGGAAACATCTGCATAGAGAAAATGTTGCCAGACACGAGGAACTTTTCCCTCTATTTTTAATTGTTTTGAGGTTAATAAGCTGTTGAGGGCTCAGCACATAAAGACACTAGCTGCCAAGCCTGATGATTTGATGCAATTTCCACATGGGAGAAAGAGAAGACGAACCCTCAAGTTGTCCTCCGACCTCCACAAGTATATCATGGCATGTGTGCATCAAACATAACTTCCCCACAGAGACATGCAAAACTAATAAACAGGGCTGGAGAGATGGCTCAGAGGTTAAGAGCACTGACTGCTCTTCCAGAGGTCCTGCGTTCAATTCCTAGCAACCACATGGTGGCTCACAGCCATCCGTGGTGCCCTCTTCTGATGTGTAGATGTACATAGAGGCAGGATGTTGTATTCATAATAAATAAATAAACCTTTAAAAAACTAATAAACAAACAAATAAATACAATTGTAAAAAAAGAGGGTCAGGAGATAGTGATAGACACCTTTAATCTCAGCACTCCGGGAGGCAGAGGCAAGCAGACTTCTGTGAGTTCCAGGCCAGCTGGTCTACAGAATGAGTTTCAGGACAGCCAAAGCTGCACAGAGAAACTGACTGGAAACCTGCCCCCATCTGACTAATGAGTTTTGACATTCCATGTGCCCAGACCCACCTCTCTCACCCACTGCAGAGTCTGAGGCAGAAGCAGGTACGTGCCCCCTCATCCCTGTCTCTCTGCTCTTCTCCTCCTAACCCAGGTAGCCCACTTGTTTTAGGTCAAAGAGGCCACTCAGACATGCCATGGCCCTAAGAGGGTTCACAGGAACTAGGAGGTTGAGTCCAAGAACATTTTAGGGAGACCTGAGGTGTCCTGGAGTCAACTCGGAGCCTGACGACAGTTAGAGGTAGCAAGCAAAGCCCATGGCCAAGTTTACCCAATGGAAGAGAAAGGTCAGCCATTTCTTGAGAAGGGAGCGCCAGCAACACCACACTTTGTTCCCTGTCTCTCCCTTTTCCTCAAGTGTGAAATCCACGTCTAGATGATAAGGCCTACTTATAGAAGCCATCTCCAAAAACAAAATTAGCTAATTGATGATGACTCATACTACTCAGAAGGCCTTCCAAAATCACACAAAGTGCATCAGGGACAAAATGGAAATGGTACCACTGAGGATTTGGGACCCTGAGCTGCCTGGCTGCACGGCCCAGGCCGAGGATAGCAAGAGCTTGGGTTTTCACACCACGGTACCCCCCATTTTCTTCTTGGATGGCACTGACCTTGATCAAGTAGGCTGGACTAGAGCCTGTGTGTGGGGTGTGTGTGTGCACGCATTTGTTCAAATCGCCTCCGAGAGTAGTCCATCTCGTCTGCTGAGGAGGTGGGGTACAGAGAGGCCCACCACCTCCCGCAAAGGATCTGGAGGGTGTAGGATTTGAATGCAGTGTGATCCTAAAGACAGCCACACAGCCAAGGCTCCAAGGAACTTCCTGCTCTGTCTCCAGGAAGGGCTCTCATAGACCGCTGGCTATGCTAAGGGTGCCAGCCCTATCTGGCACTGACTCTCACCCTGGCTGTGGTCTGCCTGCTGTTCCTACAGGGATGGAGGCGATGGCAGCCAGCACTTCCCTGCCTGACCCTGGTGACTTTGACCGGAATGTGCCTCGGATCTGTGGCGTATGCGGAGACCGAGCCACGGGCTTCCACTTCAATGCTATGACGTGTGAAGGCTGCAAAGGTTTCTTCAGGTGAGTCCCCTCTCCAGAGGGATGGGAAAGAGAGAAGCAAGCCTTTCCCTCAAGAGGACCCCTGTGCTTTTTGTAGAATGCAATGGCTCTCTCACTTACTCCAAGTGGCAGGGGCTTGATGAGGTTTTTTTTCTCTCTCTGCAGCCTCTCAGCTCCACCTGTATCCTCTGATCCCTCAGAAATTGCTTTCCTAAGGCAGATTTTCCTTTTCACTAGACCTTGACCTGCTGCACTGAGCCTCGTGTCTGCCCTTCAGAGTGAGCTTCCTCCTCGCTGAGGTTTGCAGCCTCCTCATTTAAAAGCCAGGCGTGTCTTTGGGGAAGCTGCAGAATTTGGCCCTTCTGCTTGCCTCTCCATCCAGTCTAAACTCTTATATGGAACAAAAGAGATGGCACCCCCGAAGGGTTATGGAACCTGATCTATGCCTTGGCCTGCTTTACCTAGGGGAACCAGCGGCTTCTGCCAGTCGTTGTCAGGGCTTTGCACCAATCCTGTTAGGTCAGTCAGGGCCAGTGTCTCCTCCAGTTTTCTGACGTGAGACTACGATTACAGGCACAGACAGCATGGGGACAATACTGAGAGAGTCCAGGGATGGTCTTACCCAAAGCCAGAGATGAGGATTAGAAAGGGGTAGGTGGTAAGAGAGGATTTGGGAAGCAGGGAGTTTGAAACTAGCATTCAACATATATTGGAAAGAGAACAGCCTGTAACTCTTTGGAAAAGAACCAGTGGCTGCAGGTGGGTAGATGGAAGATCAGGGCGTTGGGAGGAAAAGAAAGCGAATTGAGTTCGACCTGGCCATCTGAAGTGGTACAAAGTGGCATAGAGATCAAGTGAACCTGAATGCAGGTCCCTAGTGTGGGCCCTGCCTCCATAGCAGAGGCCTCGGGCTCACTGACTCTTACTCAGGAGCCATGGGTCAGTGTTCCACGTCCTGGAGCAATCTGATCTCTGTGCATTAGGGTTCCTATTGGTGCTAACTGCCTATTTGGCCTGGTGCAGGCTACCCCCTTGGCTGACTAGAAAACTACGCCCTAGGGAACCAGACCAACGATGTCACTGGCTATAGTCTTGAAGTCCCATCTGTCAGTCCCCATGGCTATATGAAGCCCACACTGCTGGAGAATGGGCCTTCCAGGTCTCAAATCCTTTGTACATGGTGTCACCTGGACTTTTCTGCCAGGGCAGGTGGGACAGCCACCTTCAGTGAGGTAAAGGGGAGTCTTGGTGCACAATGGGACCAACCCTGTCATAAAACTAAAGGATTGTTCATGTCATCAATTTAATATCCAACCTCATTTAATCATCCTGAACAAGCCTGTGTTCCAGCTAACCAACTCTACACATGTGCTGACATCTGGCCCCGATGCTGTGCAGTGTTGATCTGAGATCTGGTGAGATGATATATCAGAAAAGAGATTTGCAAAGTATAGAGTACAATGTGGCATATTACTTTGTAGCCACATAGGCCAACGCTGACACCCTTAGCTCTAATAAAAGATTCTGTAGCCATCTCTCAGACTCCTGGTAAGTTTTCTTTTGCTCACTCACTCACCAAATTTGAATGAACTTAAAGCCAGGAGCTGCCAAAGTTGGGACTCTCACTAAAGACCATCTGTCACCAATCTATAACCACAGCATTCCAACAGCTCCTGGAGCTGTTTTGTTCATTGATGGAGCCCCTCCCCAAATCACCTTGCCCTCCCTATCTGCCTTCCTCCCCACCCCAACCCATCTGTGGAAAATGGGGCCCTTTGATGGCTACTGGATTGATCATGAGATAGTAAAGGCCGGTTTCTCACTAGAGGAACTCTAACTCTGATATGTTTGTGACTGACGCTCCCAGAGAGACGGATGTGTTTTCCCATGGCTTAGGCTTGAAGTCTGAATAAATTCATATATATATACAGTTGAGACTCGTTGTGTATGAGTCCCATATTTGAAATTGTTCCCAGCTGCTAAAACTTACCAGAATCACCCCTTGCCACACCTTGGTTGTCATTTATGGATGGCGCAGGGCTGTGCCAGGCTGAGTCATCTGGATGGATGCACACGCTCTCAGAAAAGCTGAGCCAGGACACTGTGCTGCCTTTGCTGGAGCCCTGACTCTTTAAACAAGAGTCTTTGTAGTTTTGTCTTCCCCACCCCAGAGATGCCGAACCTTAGACTTGGAGGGCACACTCGGCAAGTGCTCTACCAATAGTTTCTTCTCTAGTCTAGTCACAGTGTTCTTTGTTTTTTAGAGCGGCTTGATTTTTTTAAAACATTTATTTAACTTATTTATTTTATGTGCATTGGTGTGAAGGTGTCAGATTCCCTGGAACTAGAGTTACAGACAGTTGTGAGCTGCCATGTGGGCACTGGGAATTGAACCCATGTCCTCTAGGAGAGCAGTCAATGCTCTTACCTGCTGAGCCGTCTCTCCTGCCCCCATAGTGTTCTTTTAGCCGTCGGCTGACTTACTGCTATGCCACCGTTTGTTGTTATTATTGAGGGGTTTGCAGGGGCGGGGGTTACAGTCATTGGCTTTGTTACTTAAAATGGTTCCTAAGTTTAGCACTAAAGTGTTGTGTACTGTTAAATTCAAGAAGCCATAGTGTGCCTTCTGGAGAAACTGTATGTGTGTGGTCAGCTTAATTCCCTCTGTGAGCAAGCAGCATGTTAGTGGCTCATTGCTAATAACCCAACACTGAATTTCAAACAAGAAGACTGTAGAGAGAAAACATGCATAAATCAAGGTGATGGAAAATGTTGTAACTCAAGGCTCACAGGAGCTTTCCCCTATATTTCTCCCAGGAGACAATTCAGCATTCAGGACTCCAGTGTTCACAGTGATGTTAGAGAAAGATCACGTGTCCTGGAGTAACAAGAATCGGCTACATCTACATCCTTTTTCCTTTCTGGATTCTCCTGCCACCTTCTTGGCCTTATTTGACTCATTTAAATTTCACTTGGGATTTTTCCAGTTCAGTCCAGTTCAGATAATTGCTTGAGTACTCCATAGTCACATATCTGTTTCTACTCCAAGAGGCAGCTGGTACTGTCTCCTTCTCAGACCCTACCTCCTTGGTACTACAGAGATGCATGTGGCAAGTTACAGCTCTTCAGAAGCTTCCTCTACCCCATCATGGCAGCTATGGGCAAGATTTTTGCTCACAGGCTACTCCCCAAGCCCAGGGATTGGTTGTCCTCTTCGACCATTACTGTTTACTTTGACTTCTAACTGCCAAGATAATAGTTTTGATGAGCCCAGGAAGTCTAAGACTTACTCAAGTGCAAGGGCCATGGTTTAGTTGACCTGTAGTCAAGAGTTAGAGTCCAGTGCTGGCCAGTTCCTCCTATAGACCATTCCACGTTCTATGTGCTTCCTACATGGATATCAGAGATGGTCTCTACAGTGTAAACTAAACGCCCACAAAGCTGAGTGTGTGGATGTCCAAAGCTTCTCAACTGTGTATTAATAAGCAGAGCCCAAGTAAGAAAGTGCCAGAAGGAGACCATATAGAGAGCTACCTCGTAGATCCATAATGATCTATGGATGAGTGTGGATGAATTTCTGATGATGAATGACTATGTATAAGGTTTAATGTAAATGGAAAGGCATAAAGATGCAGAAGAATGACCCGGGGACCCTCTGATGAAGAGATTGAGGTTGATGAGGAAATTAAGAGGGAGTCCTAGAAACTAGATTAACAGTTCATTCATTTGTCTCTTTTTTTCCTTCCGCTACCCTATTAATATCTGTTAACGAAAAGCTTGAAGGCTGGAGTGCTTGCATATCTTGTCTGAGGCCTTAGATTGAACCCTGATACTGTAATCAAACAAAAAGGCTCTGTAAAGCCCAGAGCTGTCAGTTCCAAGACAGAAAAAAAAAAAGAAAAAAACAACAACAGCCACATGAAGAAATGTTTTCATTTGCTAGCCCCAAGGTCCTCAGTGGCCTTGTTAATTATGGGTTCCCAGAGTACAGGGAGTGAAAGGCAGGCTAGTGAGAATCCAGGAACAAGAGAGATGTTCTGCTTTCAGGAAGATGGCTCATCTGGTATTTATAGCTCTTCTAAGAATTTGTTGCGCAGGAAGCAGAGAAATGGGGAAATGTCCAGCTGATTTACACACAGAGTACTTAAAGTGAAGAGGAAAGACGGGAGGAGAGACCTCCCGGGGCCTTCTGTGGCACAAGTAAGTGGCTCACTAGATAGTCATTGCTGCTGAGGAGACTTTGTCCAGGGCAGCTGTCCCTCTGCCCTCTACAGGGTGAGGAAGGAAGACTGTCACTGTGGTTGTTGATAGATGGCCCAAGAGTAGTGTGCTTAGAGACAGGAGGCCAGAGCATGGAAGCAAAGGGCAGTGGGATTGTGAAGAAAAACATATATATCCATATGTGGATATATGGATATATGTATATATGTATTTCCATTTCTGTTTGGGTTTTGTGTTTATATCTTTAAGAAATGGTGATCTAATCTGAGCTATTTGCAAGAATTCACTCTCAGTATACACCCTAGGGCTCCTCTCTATGCATAAGAAAAACAGAGCTGGAGGATGGTGTGACCAGGGTTACCCACACTTCCAACACATACAGCGAGGGACTACCAATGATCCAGTCTTTTTCATCCCAGAGGAGTCCTTCAGCCAGCCTCTGCTTCTGCTCCTGGGTGCTGGGCAGGCTTGTGTTTGCTGCTCTGTTTTGAACTGAAAGGTGATAGATTCATGATGAAGAGCTTAGAGTGTAAGAAGGCCAGGAGCTTTGGAATCCAAGAAATCTTAATTAGATTGCACTGTCTCCCTTGTTAACTACGGGGCTGTAAGCAAGCTTTTTTACTTCCCTACACCTCCTGGAAGTGCTTGTAGAATAAAGATGATATGTATTCCTCAAAAGGACTAAGAGTTGGAGATAAATGAGACGCTGGTGGGGAGGCACCTGGTGATGGCAGCTGACATTGTTCCCTTGAAATGTCTCACTTTCTAAGAACAGATAGTGGTTTCCTCTCTGTACTGTGTTGACTTGGATGTGTGTGAGTATGTCTTAGGAGGGGTCTCTGGGGGAAAAAGCCTCAGGATAGAAAGAATTAAACAATAAACATCAGATGAAAAAGGAAAGCTGAGCCAATTGACCCCAGGGGGCCTTCCAGGCGTCAGTCAAAGATCCCTCGAACTGTCTGTGGTGACTGTCATGGCTGTGGCAGTGCAGCAATGCTTTGGCCCTCTGCTGTCTGCTGAATACCAAGCTCCTGAAGAGTGAGTGTGAGGCATGATGTCAGCTTCCAGGGCCTCAGGGTCTCATGGAAGCAGGAGAGATTGACAGCCTTCAGTCTCCCTCGGCATTCCCTCCTACTGCCGCTCCCTGGCAGCTTCCCTCTGTCCTCTTCATCTGGCCGTGTATTCTTTCCCGTGATTTATTTAATCCTAACAACAACCCTGCCTGTTGCTTCCACTTTTGAGATGTGGAAGCTGAGGTATGGGAGGTTAACTAACTTGACCAAGGTTGTATATATTAATAGTAAACCCTAATAGATCAACCAAACCAAAGACTGTATTTAGTTTTTTGTTTTGTTTTGTTTTTTGGTTTTACGAGACAGGGTTTCTCTGTATTGTTTTGGAGGCTGTCGGTCCAGCCTGGCCTCAAATTCACAGAGATCCACCTGCCTCTGCCTCCCGAGTGCTGGGATTAAAGTTGTGAGCCACCACCGCCCAGCTAGTTTTTCGTTTTAAATGGTTGTGTTGGATACATACTTTTAGAATTATTACTAAACATGTTCTCTAAGACACCAGTTTGCTGAATGTAGTGACACACACTTGTCACTGTAGCACTTGGGAGATGGAGGCAGGAAGATCAGAAGTTCAAGGCAGACCTCAGCTACAAAGCAAGTTTGAGGCTAGCCTAGGCTACTTGAGACCCTGTCTCAAAAAGAAACAACAAAACAAAAACCTCAAAGAGCAAAAACAACCCAAAAAGCAAATAGTTCATAAGAACACATAAACAAACTTCAAGACTCCTACTCCACGCACTTCTCAGCCCCCATTTCTTCCTGGGAGAGATTAATACCATCAGTTCCTTCTACTCATTCTGAATTCTTTGTATGAACGTCTCTGTGTCCATGTGTATGTCCGTGTGTGTATCCGTGTGTGTGTGTGTGTGTGTGTGTGTGTGTGTGTGTGTCCATGTCCGTGTGTGTCTGTGTGTGTGTGTGGCCATGTCATTTATGTGCATGCACACCAGTACACATGTAAATGGATGACACTACCACCATCTCTGTATCTTTATCTGCTAGAGCCCGTTCCCTTTTCTGACCGACTTTCCCTGGTCATATAGCATGCGGAAGTCCTGGGATGTAACGACGTCTATAACGGATGTCAGGCTTGGTTTTTCACACTCCTGATCTACCCACAGGATAAATCCATAGCCTAGGTATTTAGGGTCTCCATGCCCGCCAGAAAGCCCGCGCTGTGGTCTTAATCAATGTTAACCTTCCTTAGAGTTTTATTGGGCATCTGCTGAGAACCCATTGGTATTGCTACAAATGTCATTATCAAGTGACATTAGACATTAAAACGCTCCAGCTTTACAGGGCTCTATTTGGCAAAGAGAACTGGTTTGTATTTAAGGTACACAATATCATCTAGATAGATAGATAGATAGATATCTCTATCATCTATCTCAATCATCTATCTCTGTCATCTATCTCTGTCATCTATCTCTATGATTATCATCTATCTCAATCATCAGTCTCTATCATCTATCTATCATTTCTCTATCTGTCTTTCACATACACACACCCCATACTCTGAGGTGATCACAACTATCAACCTAGATAATATGTCTCTGATCTCACACTGATCTCACGCTGATCGCCCCTATCAAGGACTCCATGCAGTTCCTGTGTCCTGCCAGGCACTGAGATCTCTAAAACTTCACCACAGACAGAACTCAGAGGGCACCTGACACCATGCCCCTGGCAGAAGTCACCCACTTGCCAGCCTGAGGCCCTAGCCCCTGGCACTTGATGGTTTTGTCAACTCCTTGTCTCGTCCATGTTTTGATGAATTCGTCTCTGGCAGAACTGCTCAATGTCCTCTATAACCCCTGGCTTTCTAGAAACTGCCTCTATATTTAGCCCAGTTGCACCACCCTTGGTCCCCTTCCTGAACTAGGATATAATTGCCAGTCAGCCAGAGAATGACAGGGTTCAGACTTAGAAACAGCAGAGAGAGGCACTGGGCTCCCGTGGAATGAGAAGGCTCTTGTTTCTCAAAACCAAACTGGCTCATAGGCAATTAGCTTTGGGAGGAAGGCAGGGTAGGGTGTGGGGCTTTAGGACAAAGCCCGGGGCCAGGGCTGGGCAGTATGGCTGCCCTGACTCCTTGTGGGCAGATACTAGATGGCAACCACATGTTGAAGTGCCCTTAGAAGGTGGGAGGACAGAATAAATTGGTCTCCAAGTCAGAAGGGCCTATGGTCCAGCTAACATCCATATAAAAAGACAGACCAAACAGGCCAGTTCCGGATCTGCTCCTGGTTCTGAGAATGAGCCAGTCAGTGACCAGCCAGTGGTGACCAGCCAGCGACTAGCCAGTGAACTTGCTGTCGTTCCTAGAGTATGCAATCAAAAGCTTGTCTTCCCAGACACCATTCCTTTCCCCTGGCTACATATTTAAAGAAACTCAGGAAGAGCTAGGTACCATACCTTAAAATAACAATTTTAATTTAAAAGCTTTACAAATTTACAGAACACTCCTTGCATTTTGAAAACTGACGACACCGCAATATAACCAGTTCCTTCAGCTTCCTGCCTCTAGGACCTCCTGCCTGGTGTTTGGGGAGCTCTCTGTCCCACCAGAGACTTGGTTTGCCACGCCACTGCGAAGGGCACACATAGGAGTGTTTGGTACCCACGGTCCACATGGAGGGTTCACAGCAAGGACTCCTAAGCCAGACAAGACGGTGGGCGGAGAAGGGAGCGGCCCCACTAAGACCTGGATGAAATGCCTGGTTGTGAACAAAAAGGAAATGAGAATTTGCTCCGAATTAGAAACATCTGGTCTTTGAGGAGGTTTAGAGAGTCGTGGGCATTTGTGGTAACAGGTGAAGCCTCAAGAACCACGGCAGGAAGGAGAGGAAAGAGGACGGGAGGACACATGACTCCTATCCTAGAATAGACCAATGTGGCTATGATGATCTCATTCCTGGGTAACCCTGACGGCACCAAATTGCTTTTGTATTTTGCTGTCCCCTAGGAAAAGACTATTCCTACAGTAGAGATATAAAGGCAAAAGCTGAAAGCTTCTTGTCCCCAAAAAGGTGGACACCATTCAGTCTCTTCCTGAGCATTCACAGGACAGACAGGGTAGCCTAAACTTAGGGCCACACCACCCCTAACAGCCTGGCACTACCTATTGTCATTACAACCCTAGCTCTGCTGTTGCCCTCTTGGGTATGAAATGCCATCAATTGAGGCTACCAGAGCCAAAGTTCAAAGCCAACAGATAGCCCTTCATCCTGGGCTCGTCTGGCCTTGAGCTATGCTGAGTCTGAGTCTGTTTGGCTGAGGACTCAACTTTATTGAGCACTTTGAGTTTCTAGGATTGAAAGCTGTCCAAGGAGCTAAAAGCTGATCCCTGGACCCTGCGATTCTCAGATCTGAAGCCTTCATAGTTGCTAGCCTCAGGGACCCCCGTCTATTAAGTGAGGCCGTCATACACAGGGTCTGTAACTATTCGTAGTGGCTGGGGAGTCTCACTCTTGTGTCTTTCCCCCATCCATGGGCCAGACAGGCTGGTTGCTGAGGACTGTGGTAGTCTTAATCCCCATGTTCCAGTGAATGTGAACTGCTAGTCTTTGGTTAGTATCCCTAACTTGGGGCAGGGCTCAGGGTCGCTGAGAGTGGCCCGATAGAATGGAAAGTGGACATCAAAGGGCCTTGTAGCCAGGTCTCCATAGTTACGGTCCCTGAAGGCTGTTCTTAGGCAGGGCTAAGAGGTCAGTGACTCAGTGCAGAATTGTGCCCTCTTGCCAGACGGAGCATGAAGCGGAAGGCACTGTTCACCTGTCCCTTCAATGGAGACTGCCGAATCACCAAAGACAACCGTCGACACTGCCAGGCCTGCCGGCTCAAACGCTGTGTGGACATCGGCATGATGAAAGAATGTGAGTGCCAGGAGACAGATGGGAGTGGGGGCTTAACTGCAGTCACAAAAATGCTGTGGTCACTGCCATTCGGGTTTCTCCACCGAGGTCTGCCTCTACCTACTGTAGCCCCAAGGATCCCGGACCGGGGGAAAGGGTGTGGGTGAAGCTACGCTGTTGTGGCTGTAGTTTAGAATATTTCAAGGAGCTGTGTTTAAAGAGAGAACCCATAGAATTCAGCAGATGCTGGGGAAGGGCTCGTCTGTGCCACCTGGGCTGGAGCATGAGCCCTGGTCCTCACAGAAGCCTTTGTTCCCTTTCAACAGTGCTGTCAGCATTTACACCCAGACCCCAAACCCTGGCTCTAGGACGGGGTCCCTGCCTTGCTAAGCTGTGGGCCTGCAGTCACCCTGTGAAGCTCTTTGGGTTATAGGAATGTGAGGAAAGAGGAAGAGAAGAAAAACCAGGAAGACGTGTCAGGAGCGGATGGAAGTCATAGACCAGGACTTAGGATGAGAGGGAAATAAAATGCACTCTTTCGAGAAGCAAAACAGAAAGTCACCTTGGCCCTCCTTCTAGGGCCTTCAACTAAGGATCCTCAGTCCTGATCCCAGCTCCCAGCCAACACTGGTAGCCCTGGAAGGAGTTTCCAGACCTCAGTTGCTGTTCATACCACAGGAACATGCAGGTCTGGACACGCCAAGGCTGCTACCTAGTCACTGCCCAACCCCACCTCCTGTGTTTATACTGGAGAGTGAGACGCCGCCGAAGCCCAAAGCTGGCTAGGTGTTCTCAGACATTCTTAATGGGGCCTGTCCTGTGCCGCGTGCTCAAGTGAGCACACGGAAGTGGCCTGCCTCTGTGGAACAGAGTACCCCTTCGGAGAAGGTTCCGTAGTGTCCTAAGGTTCCTGCCATCCAAGAATGACTCCGGGTTCCATTGTTGGGGTTCAGTAAGATGCTGTTGCTTACACTTGAAGATCCTCTCAGACTCAGAAAGGACAAAATGTCAGGAACAAGATCCAAAAAGCACGCTGGTGGTGATCTGGGACTACGGCTCAACCCAGGTCCCTTTCTAGACACTCCCAGGAGCCCCACAAGAAGCAAACCAGCCCTCCCCATACGTGCTATCACACGAGGGTGCCAGCCAGCCAGGAGTGGATAGCCTCCTTCAGAGCAGCTTGGGTCTCATCTTTGTTGTCCACGGCTCCCAGAAGAGAGGGATGGGAGCTCCAACGAGAACGGAACCAGCTCTCACTGCTCTGGAAGGAAGTTGTTCCCAAGAGATGCAGCTCCTGTCTTGGGTCACCCAGCTTTGCACATCGAGGCTTCAAGTCCCTGGCTTAGAACCCTCCAGAGCCAACCCCCTGCAGTGGCTTTTGTCCCTCCCCATCCTGCCCCCCCCCCCCCGACATTCAAGTATCTCACTGTTTTCAAACTACTAGGAGAGACTAGGAACTACTCAGCCTTCCTTCTAGCTGGATCAGGACGCTGGCCCTCCATAGGAGAGCAGGGGAAGGCGAGGCATCTAGAGCACACATTTTCCTCTTAAATTTGCAGAACAACCCCTAAGCATGCGAATACTACTTTTTTTTTAGCAGCTAAGAAAAGTCAAGAGAATTAAGCTATTATGCCTCTGAACTAAGTGATATATGCATCTATTCTGCCCTAGGTCTGGCCTATGGGCTCCACCTAGGGAAACCCCGTAGGCACTGGCAGAGAGTCAGCCCTTGTTGCATCCCTACACTCTGCCTGGAGCCCTAAGGAATAGACTGAAGAGAGCTTTGTTCCTCTTAAGACCCCTTTCCTCTGTCTTCAAGTTCTAGACAGTTCTTATCTGAAGTTTGTTTCTTATTCTCATTGCTTTTGAGATAGGGTCTGCTTCAGGGTCTTGACTGTGGAGTTGAGTTCTTGCATCTTGCTACATCTGTCCTACCCAGAACCACCCCCTTGTTATAACGTCAATGTTTTCATAGATGTGTATCTTTCCTCTCCAGTTTCCTTACGTTTGCATGGCACCGGGGACATAGGAGGTGCTCAGTGAACCTGTAGAATGAATATCAGCTCTCCACGTGCTATTATCTCTAGATCCTCATCAACCTACAGGGATGAGTAAGCGGAGCCTAACTCTGATCTTGTCTGAGTCATTCATTTGTGGGGAAAAGTTATGTCCTCTCTCTTGATGTTCTGAAGTCACTAGTGACATATTCACGTTTCAAAACTGTTCACGTTTGCAGATCTTGACTTTCCAACTCGAGTCTAGACATTGTTGGACAGGAAACATTTTACATGCAAATAACTTATGCAAAGCTTATTTCATGTCCCCCAAGGGATTTGCAAGGAAGTGGAGGCTGTACCGGCTTGCCTCAGCCAACCAGTGATGTTCAATCTCATCCACTGCAGAGTTCCCCAGGACCCCGTTACTAGGCCACTGGCTTCACTTCAAAAGAGCATCTTCGAACCAGTAGTAGTAGCATCTAAGTATCAACTCACCAAGAAAATTATTTTTAAAATTCCCAAGAGGTTACTAAGCCCTTTAAGCTAATTATTTCACAGATCACACAGCGTATTCGTGAATGTGTGAACAAGGTCCCTAATCAGTGTTGCTTCCTGGAAGCTCTGGATAGGAACCAGAGTCTCAGATTTCACCAGTCATCCTCAGGCAGAGAGGCCTGGCTGCTATTCAACACAAGCATTGGGAAGAAAGGTGTTAAAGGTTAGCCTTGAACTTTAAAGTATTTGTTTGTTTGTTTGTTTAAGCCGGGGCATGTGTCATAGAATACTTGTGGAGGTCGGAGGACAACTTGCGGGAGTCCGTTCTCTCCTTCCACAAGGTGGGCCCAAGCATTCAGCTCAAGTGGCCGGGCTTGGCAAGCAAGCACCCTCCCGACCGACTTTTCCCATTGAATCACGACGCTTGTCTCTGAAGTTAATTTTGAATCTTTATTGTCTTCTTCAAGTAAATCACTGACAAATATGGTTCCATTAGTTGTTCACACTCTTTAGCTTTCCTCGGGACAGTTTGTGTCAGGACTCCATGTCTAAGAGAGTCTCACTGAGCAGTTATATTATAGTTTGATATAATCAGGAAGAGATGGACTTGTGGGCATGACCATGCATTCCAGAACCAGGCTGCCTAAGTCTGAATGTTGGCTCTACTGTGTTACCCTGAGCAAGCTACACAACCTCTCTGCGCTTCATTTTCCTCTTCTACGAAGATATTTACCTTAGAGGATTGTTATAGTGAGCCAATGTACAAAAGGCCCTCTTTATTTTTGGTTTTTCGAGACAGAGTTTCTCTGTTTAACAGCTCTGGCTCTCCTGGAACTTGCTTTGTAGACCAGGCTGGCCACGAACTCACAAAGATCCTCCTTCCTCTGCCTCCAGAATGCTGGAGTTAAAGGGCATGTGCCACCACCGCCTGGCCCAAAAGGTACTTATAACTATGCTAGATACATTAAAAAATAATAATAACAATAAGTCACCATTATTCTTACCTTCATGTAATGCCAAACTTTGATCACCAGAAATTCTAGGTCCCAAAAGATCAAAAGTAATCCTAAGGCCTGATGTGGTGGCCCTTACCCAACACTTCGGAGGCAGAAACAGATGGATCCCTGAGTTTGAGACCAGCCTGGTCTACATAGTAAGTTCTAGGACAGCCCGAGACACATAATGAGACCCTGCCAAAACAAAACAACAAAATGGCACATGGGACTGGGACCATGGCTCAGTGGATAAGAGCAGTGATGGCTCTTCCAGAGGATCTGGGTTTGATTCCCAGCACCCACAAGGCAGCTCACAACCATCTGTAACGCCAGTTCCAGAGGATCTGATGCCCTCTTCTGGCCTCTACAGACACCAGACATACATATAGTACACGATGCAGGCAATACACTCCTAAAAATAAAATAAAGTACATTTAAAAGAGAAAGAATGCCGTACCACTAGAGGCAAGCAACAATAAGCAGAGCCAACACATACACAAAACTTAGCAGAGGTGTCTACAACACATACACAAAACTTAGCAGAGGTGTCTACAACACATACACAAAACTTAGCAGAGGTGTCTACAACACATACACAAAACTTAGCAGAGGTGTCTACAGAAGCTGTGCCAAATTCCACAAAGACCCCAAAGCAACAACTCTGGGGTATCCCTGAGCCTGCAGAGTTTGAAGGCATCATCTGAGAAAAGCTTGTGGTTGTTCGGGTAGTCCCTTACAGATCAGTCTGACTTGGAAGTGTTTCAATCACAATTATGTAATCCTCAGTGCCTGTGAAAATGATTTACATGGTAGACACACTCCATACAGATATACTTGATAGTTGGTGTCACACTATGTGGCAAGTTCCATGGTAGGAACACCCCCAGCTCCCCGACTAGCCTCTGTAAGGGGACACAAGATTTGTAAGCCATAGCCCTCATTCTTGGGCATCCTTTTTTTTTTAATAATTTAACTTTATTTTATGTGCATTGTCATAAAGGTGTCAGATCCCCTGGAACTGTAGACACAGTTATAAGGTGCCATGTGGGTGCTGGGAATTGAACATGGGTCCTCTGGAAGAGCAGCCTGTGCACTTAACTTAAGTTTCTCTGTCAACATTTATTAAAACCTGTAGCTATGAGTCTCAAAGAGTGGGAGACTCGGGTGCCAATGTGGGAACAAGAGCTCAGAGCAGATCAGGGAAATCAAGAAAGGCTTCATGGGAGAGAGGGCAAAGAGCTGGCCACTCAGAAAAGAATAGACTCTGTCAGCAATGCCGACATGCCTACAACAAACAGAAGCTGTGTCCAAGGACGCTGAGAAACGAGGTTGGAAAGAGTTAAGCCAGATCATGAAAGGCCTTGACTTCAATTTGGTCCTGGCAAGCAGGGAAGATGCAGAAGTTTCTAAGCAGGAGAATAGCATCACAGCATCCTGGGAGGGCTACCAAAATCGGCCAGGCTGATCAACATGCCTGCGGACGCCCACAGTGAGACGGGAAGAGCCCTGCCTCTGCAGCTCCCATCTCTCACACTGCCCACTGGTCACATGGGCTGGAGAAAGGGACCGCCTGCCTGACCGTGGTTCACAGGCCGTGACCTTCGGCCCTTCCCATCCTCCCCAGGTGCTCCTAGCACCTCTTCCCCCAACCCCACCTGACCTCGTAGGGGTTGAGCAGACACCCTCTGTGGGAGGAGGGCTGGCAGCTCTTTGGGCAGATGAGTCAGCCGCCTGGGCGTGGCATCATTCCAGCACTGTTCTTTGGGCTGTGTACCTTGGTTGTGGGAAGATGGCACCATCTTTCTCAAAGGCTTCCTCAAATGCCTGTGGCTTCACTCTCCACCCCTGCCCACCATAGATTCTTCCTCAGCCCCCATCGGCTTCTCTCATTCTCCTCCTCCACGGTGGGCTGGGGTCAGTGGACTGTTCTTGAAGCACAGAACCCATGCTCTCTCTGGTTCTGGTTCGTTCCCCTGTTCTTGTGAAACTCCACACTTCTGTGGGCAGATGCCCTGGCAGCTTGAGCACAGAGCAAGTAGCTACAGGCTGGGGCCCTGGTGCCCACTCCTAACAGCAGGCTCGGCAAGCCCTGGCCAGGCGGTCTGTTTGCCTGCCTGCTGTGCCAGGCATCCCTGCTCCCGCCTGTCCGTGCAGGCAGCTGCCCCAACACAGGGTGGCAGGCGCCACTGCAGAAGCCCCTGTATCAGCCTACAGGTGACAAAGGATCTCCCATGGCTAGTTATCTACCGCCAACCGGAAGGAGTGCCGCCCAGACCCAGACTATGAGGCTCCAGTTTCCAGGGATTCCAAGAGGACTCAAAACATTCCTTGAGCAGAAGCCCCAAGCTTAGCCAAACTGAAAGGCGGAGATGTTGTCATGCAGAGAAGCGAGGGAACAAAGACTTTGCATGTTGTTTAGAGTGGACCAGACGGCTGAGTTCCACATCAGGAAATGAGAATGTGGAAATGGCTGCTTTGAGGGGGTCTTCTCAGCATTCCTTAGCGTCCAACACAGGGAAGGCCACACGGTCATGGACCATGAGGCACGGGCCAGGAGTAACATGTGGCTTTGTGCCAGGCACACATCCAGTTCTCAAAACAGGTAGTCTTTTGGGGGTGTTTTCTCCTACTCCTCCTCTCTTCCTTCCTTCCCCTCCTCTCCAATAAGGAGACCTTGGAAGAAACCATATGTTCCAAACTGAAGGAGATTAAAAGCCTGGAAAGTCTGCCATCCCCCCCCCACTCCCCGAGGTCCCACAACTTGTCCTTGAGAATCTAGACTTCCGATTACCAGACAAATCTCCACTCCTCCCACATACACCTGCCTTTTCACTGTAGAAAACCCAGTTTCCATCATGTCATGGTGTGGGAGCTAACATGGCCGCTGGACCCCACAGAGCCCCCGCTGCCCCACCTCCCACCCCCATGTAAGGAGCTGACCAGCCCCTACCATACCAGTTCTTTTGTTAATGGAGGAAGTGTTCCTGGAGGAATTTGGGGCCATCTCTCAGGACTCCCTTTCTTGCCCCCACAGTCATCCTGACAGACGAGGAGGTGCAGCGTAAACGGGAGATGATTATGAAGCGCAAGGAGGAAGAGGCCTTGAAGGACAGCCTGAGGCCCAAGCTATCCGAGGAGCAGCAGCGCATCATAACCATCCTGCTGGATGCCCACCACAAGACCTACGACCCCACCTATGCTGACTTCAAGGATTTCCGGGTTTGTCTGCTGGCCCAGGGCTTGAGAATCAGATAATAGCCTAGGCCTGGGGAGCAGGGATGGAGGGTCAGGGAGGATCTGGGACGGTATGGACGCCACGCCGTCCGCTGTGAGCCCTTCTTGCAGACCTTCCCTGGAGCCTTTGTTCTCAGAGGCAGGAGAATGGCCCCCAAATAGGAACCTCTGAGAACCCCTCTTTGCCTTCCAGCCCCCAGTTCGCATGAATGGGAGTCAAGGAAGCTATCCTGCAAGGCCCACACTCAGCTTCTCTGGGGATTCCTCCTCCTCCAGCTCTGATCCGTACACCACCTCACTGGGTAAGGAGCCCTTCGACCGAGCAAGCTGGGGGAAGGGACAGAAATCTCCCATTTGCATGCGGTGTGTGGGATACAGCCCTTCTTTTATGGAAAGAGGGCTGGCTTGTGCAAGATATATGCCGGGAAGAGACCATACTGGGGTTCTGGCTGTACAGATGGACCCTCGGTCCAGGCTCAGCCTCTGAGCCAAGCTCTGTCTGTCATTGACTTCTTCCCTGGAATGACCTGGAGGTCACTCACTGTTCAAAGTGTGGGTCCTGGACTCTTTGGAAGGTGAAGGCGACCTATGATGTGAAGGGCCCTATGGCCCCGTGTACTGGGATCAACCAGCACTATGGCTTCAGACAACCTGTCACCTTCAACTTCTGAGAGCCTGGACTTTGTGCTTTTCTGCTTTGGGCCCTGTTATGTGTTCATCTTCATCATCCTGCCTAGTCCTTCCTCCTTCCTCTACCTCTCACCCAGTTCCGGCGTCCTCCTCTCAGGGCCTGGAAGAAGGTGGGGATGGGACTTGGGCCTCAAGCATGTGTGCATGTTCTGGGTAACTAGAGTCTCGGCCTCCCTCCAGACTCTGTGGCTTACCTGTGCATGGACTGAAGCAGGGTGCCAGTGCCAAGTGTACAGACAGTGCCAACCCACCAGAAATGAAGAGGGGAGGGAGTGGTCAAACACGAAAGAAAGCACTGGGCGTGGCTTGTGACTGGCACTCCCTCCCTCCCCTCTCCCCCTCCACCCCGAGTATTCATCCCGCTTTCCATCAGATGACATAGTCATTGTCCCAGTTATGGACAAACAGTACTTCAGCTTTTTATAATCACGTATGTCCTTTAGGTGAGTCTATTATTCTTTATTTTATTTTGAGACAGGGTCTTACGATGTAACATTGACTGGCCTGGAACTCATAGGGAATCACCTGCCTCCTGGGTGCTAATGATGCTAAACTTTCCATGAGTTCACTGGTCCAAGGTCCTTACACCCACCAATGTATGTTCATATAGTATGTTTCCAAACTCAGAAAGGTAAAATGATGTTAATTAAAAATGATTATACAGAAGTAACATATATTCACCATAGCTATTTAGAAAATGTAGATGAATACGTTTTATTGTATAATATAATCTAGGATCCTAATGTTCAAAGGAAATTACTGTTAATCCCTTGATGTGTCTTTCTGACTTCCTTCAGAAATGGAATTGTGCTATGTAGCCTGATGATTTGTGACCCTTCTCTTTTTTTTATTTTATTTTAAAAAATACCAAAATTCCCTACTGTTGGATATCTAGATTGGTTCCTAGTTTTTCAGTTTTTCTCCTGGTAAATATTTATACTTATTCCAATTTTCTTCTTATAATGAATGCGTGGAAGTGGGATCACTACACATAATGATAAGACCTCTCTCTCCTGGGGGGGGGTATATACCCTTAATCACTGCACTAGGGTGCTGTGAGTTCCAGGCCAGCCTGGCTTACAAAGTGAGTTCCAGGGCAGCCAGGGCTACATAGTGAGACCTTGTCTAAAAAAGAAAAAAAAAAGAGGTTCCATCCTCTTGTCTTCACCTCTTGAGAGCTGGTATTACAGGAGCACATGAGCACACTCAGCTACTGGTTTCAAGTAGCTTTTCAGATGACCTGCATAGCTACACATCTCCTGCAGCACCCTTAGCTGCACAAGACTCTCTGCAATGCTTCAGTTTTTACAAATTCCAGCATCAACTTTATATTTGTCTTCAGTGTATACTTGGAAAATATAAATATTCTCTACCTTGTAGTTCTTTGATCATTTAATAGAAGTGAGCTTTTTGCCCCATGGGTTGAGGAAGTAAGCCTTTGCCCCTGGGTTGAGGGGGTCCCAAACACAGGTTTTAATCGTGTCTTTAGGAAGACTGCATGCTTTGCAGAATTATAGTTAAAAAGGACTTTTTTTCCAGACTGTCTCTAGCTTCTTGGATTTACTGTCTCAAAGAGCTAAAATAAGAGATGGGGAGAGACCCAGAGGGAGCCTGGGAAGAAAGAGGGGCTCTGGGAGAAGGCAGTCACTATGAGGTACCTTTGCCTCGGGTGCACCCCAGGTCCTCACTGGAGAGCCTGGCCTGGGTGTCTCTAAATAGCTCCCTCTCTTTCTTCATCTTTCCCAGACATGATGGAACCATCCAACTTTTCCAACCTGGATCTGAATGAAGAGGACTCTGATGACCCTTTGGTGAACCTGGATCTGTCCCAACTCTCCATGTTGCCCCATTTAGCAGACCTGGTCAGCTACAGCATCCAAAAGGTCATCGGCTTTGCCAAGATGATACCAGGATTCAGGTAAGAAGCTCTTGCGGTGTGTGGGAAACTGTCAGGATCCTATGTGGAACTAGACGATGCCTGGCAGTCTTCTGCTGCTTCCCTCAGGCACATCCCAGAGCAGCGCCTACACCAGGACCTCTAGACCATGCCAAGACTGTCCTCCAGTACATGTAGCTGCCCAGCATTATGTTGAGAGACAGTTTTGAGAGCAGTTCCACTGCTCACTTTCTGGGTGATGAAATGACATCCCACCAAGGTTTCATGGCTAGCTAAGATCCTTTTAGGGCATCAGAACCAGGACAAGGAGCCCTAGATACCTGCATCTGGCTCCCACTGCTGGCTTGAAACTAGTCCTCACATCATCCCTTTAGATTCAACCTACAAGGTTCCTGCACACCCATTCTGAGGCCAGGATGAAGTGACAGTGAGCATATAGGACTTCTGGACTTGTGAAACAACTCAGGAATCCTAGGAAACTGGAGGCAGTTTCCCTGGCATATATGACCTGGCCATTCCTCACCCAAATCTGTATCAAAATACCACCTCCTAATCATACTAAGCCCTTCTTTCCAAAATAGGTAGAGATAAAGGATTCTTCTAGGGGAAGCGTTTTGCCTTACAGACTCATTCACGCAGATTTTGTTCACTCATGTCTAAATTTACTTTAATAATCGCATGTGGAGTTGGAGAGATAGCTCAGTGGTTAAGAGCACTTGTACAAGTGTGAAGACCAGAGTTCATATTCTTAGTACCCACATAAGAAATCCAGGCCAGGATTGGAGAGCCAGCTCAGCAGTTAAGAGCACTGGCTGCTCCTCCATAGGACCCAAATTCCATTCCAGCACCCACATGGTGGCCCACAACTGTCTGGAACTCCAGTTTCAGGGCATCGAATATGCCCTTCTGGCCTCCACAAGTACTGCATGCATGCGGTATGCAGACATATACACAGACAAAATGCCCATGCATATAAAGTAAAAATAAAAGTTAAAAAAAATCCAGACTAGTATGGTAGTCATGTAACTCCAACATTTGGAGGCAGAGGGGATCCCCAGGTCAAGATGGCTACCTGGACTAGTCACATCAGCCACCTCTAGGACCTAGGAAGACCTTGCCTCAATATACAAAGTGATGAGAGATCAAGGAGGATGTCCATTGTCAATCTCTGGCCTCTACATGTATGTTTACACATGTATTTATACACATTTGAACATGCACACACACCACATGTGCATATATAAATATATATGTATGTATATATATATGTATGTATGTTACTTGTATCTGACTATCCACGCAGTACTAAATATTCTTAAAACAATACAGTATTGTCACTTTTGATATATATATTGAAATATGATTAGACCTATATTTATGCATATCAATCTCTTCATTGTTTCCAAAAGTTCACTGGGTACGTTCCCATCAAACCTGTCTGTAGCATGGTCAAGAAGTCCGTTAACACAAAGCAATGCCATCATCCCTTCCTGTGGTAGCAGTAGCTAAGGCCAGACTGTTTCCGCATGCTGAAACTCGGGTTCCCTGCTGAGCCCTGGGAGCTGCTAGTGACTTGACAACGCTGGCCGCCGTTGGACAGACGCTAACATGAGGTGCTTTCCCTGGTTTTGTCAGCTTCTCACCGTGAAGGAAGACTTAGTTATTGTCGACATTACCACACCATCCTCTCAATCCTCTCAGCTCTGGTAGTTCACAGAGCTGCACCTCCCAGTTTCTTTCTGCCAGCAGACAGCCCATGTGTTGCCTTATACCTCTCAGGACTCAGGTGGAATCATGTGACTAACAAGTAGAAGAGAAACAGGACAAACAGTGTCGAGGCCCCCCACCCCACCCCCAGACTTCACTGCACATTCAGCTGTGGCGATAAGGCCAAGGGCTGTCGTTCTGTCAGCCAGGTGGGCACACTTGAGTCTCCTGTGTGGAGTGAGGCTTGCTTCACCCTCAGAGCCTAGCCTTGGAACTGGCAACACATCTTATTTAGTACAAATTCCACCTCCTTCCACCATGCTACACGCTGCTGTTTGTAAGCTCCGTGCCTTCTCAAGTTTTGTTTTGTGTAAGCAACTAGAAACACTCCAAGGTACTGGAGTCCTGGCGGAAGCCAGCTCCCACCTGAGTCTGAGGAGCAGTCTCCTCCATTAGCATCTTTCCTCACTGTGGTGGGGGGCAGGGTTGGACGGGTGGCTTCTGAGACACCCCCCCACACACACACACACATAATGTGCTAAAGTTTAGTGTTTGGAGGAAGTAGAGGCAGGAAAAACATCACTAATCCAGACCACCCAGCACTGCCTCCTCTGAGTGCCCCAGCTTCTGCCCCCCAACCTTTCTCTCTCATTATTTATTATTTAGCTCCTATTACTTACTCTCTCCTCCATTTCTCTCTCCAAGGCTGAGACAGTCGACTCCTTGCAGGCCCCATTTCCCCTCAGGGTTCACTAGCCTGGCCCTGTAGTCAAGGCTAAAGTATAGTACACATGAGCAGACATGGGAGCCACCCAGGTCTTGGGCAGAGCAGGCTACGTTGGGTTGGCGTCTCTTTCTCCAGCACGGCCTGAGACAGCATCTCAGCCAGTTATTTGACAAGAAGAATGGGCCAGGTCTTGGCCAGAACTCTGGAAGCACACTAATATGGATACTCTGACCAGACAGAGGGGTGCCACACCTGGACAGGAGCCAGCCTGGCAGCTCCCTGAGTCTGTGGTTGCCACACTAAGGGGTTGCCTTTTTTTCTGGGAACAGTAGTTGCCTCCCCGGCAGCTTTGATCTTGCTGCCTGAAGGCGAGGGAGACAGGTGGGGAAGGCAGGATGAGACGTCTGTGTGGGTGAGGGGCCTGGGGTTAGGATGCAACTCCTTCACGGGCATGGAGTTCCTGGGCTCTTCTGGGCGTGAACAGCACAGTGGTGCACCCTTGGCTCCGCTCCCTCCTTCTGCCTTCCAGCCCTCATCTGCCCCAGCTCACCCACAAGCCTCTTTGTGCTGCAAAAGAAGTGCATGGAGGAGGTAGGGTCAGGAGCAGCTTCTAAATGGCCAGGAGCAGCCATGGATACACAGGCTGAGCATGTCGGGGCTGCTGTACCCGGTGAAGTAGGTTACAAGGCCACAGATGCTCAAGCCCAGCTTCCTGGGCTGTAAACACCTGCAGCCTCACTGTCACTTCCATTTCCAGGGACGCCTCTAGTCACAGGCCCCAGAGGCTTCCCTCACCCTCTCCTACACAAGCATGTACCCTTCCATCCAGCACCTCTCTTGTCTAAACTGTGAGGATTAGGATACCATCTCTGGCCTCTGGGGACTCAGGTTCGATAGAAGAGATAGGCATGTAAACAATGGCTACCAGCGGATAAGAACTCTGCTGCAAACCTGCTGGAGGTTCCACACCGTGGGAAGGCAGGCAGGGAGGGGCTAGCCAGACAGCAGCTCAGTTCCAAGGCACACCCCGGGTGACCTGAAGTGGTCCCAGATGTGAACAGTGCCTGACGGTAGACGGAGAGATGACACTGGCCAGGCCTTGAGCTGGTACTTGCTTTAGCAGAACAAACCCCCTCCCGGTCCCCTGGGAACCATGGTTAGAAAGGCCCTGCATTTCCCAGCTGTGGGTGTGATGCGGGGATGCGGAGTCATTACTGTCCCCACACAGCAATAGTGTGTGGGGATCACAGTGAATACCGATCCTATTGGAATCTGCCTTTCGAAGCAGCCAGCGTGACTACTTACTTCTAGACATCTGTTCTGAATATAGCAAAGACCTTCGTCATGTCACATGGAATAGCAGGAATGGGAAGTGACCAAGATGCTTTGTATAGGGCTGTGATGCAACATTACACTGCTTGCGGAGGACAAAGCTGGTTTTTTTTTTATTTTATATGATTTTATACTTTTTCTGTAATTCCTAAAGGCAGTGAGCTAAAACTCAAATGGAGGCTGTGTTTTTGTTTGTTTTTGACACTGGGTCCCACTTTGAAGCTCAGGGTGGTCTAGAACTTACTATGTAGCCCAGGCTGTCCTCAAAGTCATGATAATCTCCCCTGCTTCAGCCTCCTGAATGTTAATCATAGACATGACTCACTATATCTGGTTAGTTTTTAGTTTTTTAACATGCATTGAGTACTTATACTTAGAAGCACTTAGATGCCATATTGTAAAATCTATTGTTGAATATAAAAAGATAATAGGACACCGTTTTCTCTTAAAAAAAAAAAAGCCAGGTGTTGGTGGTGCACGCCTTCAATCCCAGCACTCGGGAGACAGAGACAGGCTGTGAGTTGTGGGTTCAAAGCCAGCCTGGTCTACAGAGCGAGTTCCAGGACAGGCTCCAAAGCTACAGAGAAACCTGTCTTGAAAAAAAATACAGGACTGGTGAGATGGCTCAGCAGGTAAGAGTGCCTGCCAGCCCAAGCCGGATGCCCTAGGTTCAAATTTCCCAGAATCCATGGGAGAGGAAGAGAGAGAAAACTGATTTTCCAAAATCGCCCCCCGACCTCCACGAGTATGCCATAGCACACACGCACCACCACCACCCACAACAGTAGCAATAACAACAAACAAGATTTTAAGATAAAAACACTCGATTAGCTATGGTTAGGAGGTCTCACAGCTACGAGAGACATGTGGTGGCTGTGCGGCCGCTAGAACACGCACAGGTATCTGGTCCTATTGGTTATCACTCAGTAGAAGAGGAGGCTATCGATGCAGGCGCTAACAGTCTCACAGTTGGATCCAGAGGCTGTGGGCTTAGGTCTTGGAGGAGTCTGCAGTTGCCATGTGTCAACCACTCATCAAGCAGGCCGAAGAGGAGCTGGCCATGCAGCCTCCCACGAGAACCTTCCCAGGGGAGTACCAGTGCAGTTTCCCCATCCTGATCCTTGGCTAGCCGCCTAACCCTGGAAGCCTTCCACTTCCTGCCACGTATGGTCCGCTTCCTGCACTTACATACTAAAGTGCTGCAGAAAACATTTTAACCTGTCTGCAGAAGTCTCCTGCAGAGGAGTCTAGACAGTCAGGGAAGTCAGAAGCAAGCTGGCCTAGCAACTGCTTCTCCCTGCCGCTGCTCAGACAAGCCCAGCTCTTGACTCAGAAGACTGCAATGATTGGCCTCTTGTCACACCGACTTGTTTATTGATCCTCTTTTGTGCCCAGGATCATTCTGTGGGAAACAATAACGCAATTAAGAGATGCTGTTGGCTCTCAAGTAACTTATAAACAAAACTTAAGAGCTGGGAATGGTAATCCCAGCCCTGAGGAGGCAGAGAAAACTCCAGCCAGCCTGGGCTACATAGAACTCCAGAGTCCAGAACACAAAACAAACAGAGGCAGAGGCAAGCACAGGCAGGGCAGGGTAAAAGGTGAGCACCTCAGTATGCACTGGTGACGAGAAAACGCATACTGAGGTGCATGCAGAGTCAGCCAGACTGCTGGGAGTGAGTGGGGCTCCGCGGAAGATCACACTTGGTTTTGAGACCATAAAGGTGGGATGGAACATTAAAAGAAGATGTTTTTGAGCTGGGCGGTGACACGTGCCTTTAATCCCAGCACCCGGGAGGCAGAGGCTGAGGCAGGAGGATCTCTGTGAGTTCAAGGCCAGCCTGGTCTACAGAGCGAGCTCCAGGACAGCCGGTGGGGTGGGGCGTGTTTCTGAACTTGGTGAGATGGTTCAGGAGGTAAATGTTCTTGCTGTCAACTAGAAATTTACGTTCAATCCATGGGATCCACATGGTAGAAGGAGAGAGGAGACTCTCCCAAGTTTTCCTTTGGCCTCCACCCATGCGCTGCAGTCATGCGTGTGCGCGCACACACACACACACACACACACACACACACACACCATGTGCACACAAGATAAAAGAAAAAGAAAGAGTTGTTCCTAGCTGAAACTACATCCTCAAAGGTAGGATGTGTAAGAGTGCATCAAAATCGAATGCACAGCAGCGCCATGATGCAAGAATGGAGGGGTGGTGGCATTTGTAACGGGAAAGAGACCTGGAAAGACCAAGCAGAGCCAAACTGTGGAGTCTGGGCTTGATCTTGGGACGTTTGATCCCAGGGAGACTCTTGGGCATAAGAACAACATTGCCCTGTAGCAGCAATGGGAAAGATGCATGAGAGCCTGCACCTCTGCAGTCCCAGTAGGAGGCTGTCGCACAAACCGTGGAGAGAGCCATTGTCTTGGTATTGTGGTGCTGTGAAGAGACTCCTTGACCAAGGCAACACTTGCATTTAACTGGGGACTGGCTTACAGTTTCAGAGGGTTGGTCCATGATCATCATGGCAGGAAGCAGGCAGGCATGGCAGTAGCTGAGAGCTTTACTTCCTGATCCACAGGTGGCAGGCAGAGACAGAACCTCCAAACCCCGTGTAGGCTCTTTAAACCTCAAAGCCCACCCCCAGTGACACACTTCCTCCAACATGACCACACTTACTCCAGCAAGGCCAAGCCCCCTAATCCTTCCCAAATAGCTCCGCTCTCTAATAACTAAGCATTCAAATACACGAGCCTATGAGGGTCATTCTCATTCAAACCACCACAGCTGTGGCGACAGCTCAGGAGATCAGTTGCCTTTTTTGCAAGCATGAGGACCTGAGTTCAGATCCCCAACATACATGCAAAAGCCAGATGTGGCCATATGGATCTGTAACACCATTGCTAGGGTAGAGGTGCAAGAAGATCCCTGTAGCTCAGTAGCCAGGCAGTCAAGCCCAAATGACAAACTCTGAGTTCAGCAAGTGCCCAATCTCCAGACACAGCGTTCAATGGAAGACATTGGAATCAACCTCTGGTCTCCACACATACACATACACCAAGAACAAAAAACGATGGAGCTCTGAGCCAGAGAAGTCCTAGTGGGAGCAGGAATGAACTCAAGGACTCAACGGGTGTCCTGTAGACTCTGGTTATGCCTTTTGCAAACCTGTGTTGTGTGCTACATGACACAGAGAGCTTTCTTTGGCTGTCCTTTCTTCCTGTCCATAGTAGCCTGTGCTATCAGTCACTGAGCTCCTGGAAAAGCCTTGGTTTCTCCTCCCCCAGACACATTGTCTTGCCTTCTAGGATATCCCTGTCCAAACACTAAACAAGTGCCTGTGACTTGAAGATGTTTACTGGTTACCTGACCACCCCCTTCCTGCCTTCTCTACCAGGGATCTCAGCTCTGATGACCAGATTGTGCTGCTCAAGTCAAGTGCCATTGAGGTTATCATGTTGCGCTCCAATGAGTCTTTCACCATGGATGACATGTCCTGGGACTGTGGCAGCCAGGACTACAAGTATGATGTCACTGATGTCACCAAAGGTGCGGCTGGACTCCTCCTCTGTTTTCTCCAGCTCCCAAACTCTGGCTCTCTAACCTCTGGACTCTTGGGGTTGTGACCAGGCACATGGAAGGAGACGGGGCAACAACAGGGAGAAAGGGGCTAGGGGAATGCCCAGGAGTGGGTTCAGGTTGGGTGGGTGTTTCTACTCTCACGAGGCTGTTCTCTTCACAGCTGGGCACACCCTGGAGCTGATTGAGCCCCTCATAAAGTTCCAGGTGGGGCTGAAGAAGTTGAACTTACATGAGGAGGAACATGTCCTTCTCATGGCCATCTGCATTGTCTCCCCAGGTATGGAGCTGAGCAGAGAGATCTGGGATGTGGCGGGGACTAAGGGGTAAAGATCTGTTCAGAGCCTGCAGGGTAGTCTGAGAGAGAAGTGAACAAGAGAGGCAAATAAGAAAATGCTCACTTTGATAGGTCTGCATCGTCATTAGGGCATGTGGAGGGGCCCCTCAACACAGGTGGCTGTGGTGATATATCATTTATGATTTATTAAAGCATGCATGCTGGAGGATTCAGAAAAAGCAAAGCCAGCCACAAGCCATAGAAGTCACGCACACACCTTTGATCCCAGCAGCCTGAAGCTAGGAGGTGATGGTATACACCTTTAATCCTAGGACTCGGGATTAAGAGGTAGACGGATCTCTGTGAGTCCAAGGCCACCCAGATCTACACAAGATCGATCCAGTCCTAAAGAGAAACAGCTCACACAAAGATGATCTCAGCTCCTGGGATCACACGCCTTTAACCCCAGCACTAGAGGGGTGTAAAAGATAGGAGCAGGGTCTTCAGTATGAGGCATTCATTCTCCAGCCACATTGAGGATAGGAAGACATTCAGTCTCAGGATTTTACAGCCACGCCGTTGAGAGGCAGCAGGATAAGTCCATTCATCCTGAGGTATTGCTAAGAGCTAGTGGCCCCCTACTTTGTCTTTTCTGATCTTCAGCTTGAAGTTTGAGCCTCAATATCAGTCTCTGGGTCTTTTATTTTTTGTGTTGCATGTGGCTTTGTCCCATGGAGCCCGAGGTGATTCATAGGATTTTGAGAAACCAGATGAACAGGGTTCCATAGGCCATACATCAGCCTTGAGTGTTGCCAATACTCAAGCTCTGTTCTTGTGTGAACTGGGATGAACTTTTCTGTCACCTGAGATTCTTCAGAGGCAGGGTACAAACCCTTGGGGATCAACGGATGGTTTCTGCCTGAGTTGATTTTGGAGGCTGTGGGCTGTGACCTGATGGGAAAAAAGACTAGGAAGGAAGTTATGGTCTTAGAGATGTTATATTGGTGATAAAAGTCCAAAGGATACAGCCCCAACTCAGCCTGGACCACACGTGCACAGGGGAAAAACTATTAGCCTGTGCCCAGGAATGCCTTCACAGGCTGATGGCCCAAGGGATAGACATAGGTTTCCCTCCTGCTGCCCAGTTGGCATGTACTCCTCATTCACACGCTCAGTTACCGTGCCCAGGCACTGGGCAAGGCACAGGGAGTCTCGGCAAACAGGATAGACTTTTCTGTCATGAAGGTTAGAGGAAATGAATGCTAGTATCTGTTCATTTGCAATATAATAAGAGGTTTGAATATGAAGATGGCGTGATGCTACAAGAGAGATCCTAAGGTAGATCTGGAGCTGGCAGGTGGAGGGTATTGTGGGGGCAGGCTTCAGGAAGGGCTTTGAGTCTGGTCCCCAGTGATCAGTCGGACAAATAGACAAGAGCTGACTCCCAGGCAGAGGGAAGATCGGCTGGCCACAGGAACACCGAAGACTGAACCTAGGGGCAGAAGGAGTGACAAGGATCCAGAGGACAGATCCATTGGAGCCCAGGGAAAGACTTGGTCCCAAATGCAGTGGGATGGCACCGGGGAATGCTGACATGGGTATCGTGTGGGTGGATGCTGTGAAACTGAGCGTTGAGGAGTTCATCTGAGCACCCCGTGTCTTCCTCCATCCCTTGTGACACAGACCGACCTGGGGTACAGGATGCCAAGCTGGTTGAAGCCATCCAGGACCGCCTGTCCAACACACTGCAGACCTATATCCGCTGCCGCCACCCACCCCCAGGCGGCCACCAGCTCTATGCCAAGATGATCCAGAAGCTGGCTGACCTTCGAAGCCTCAACGAGGAACACTCTAAGCAGTACCGCTCCCTCTCCTTCCAACCTGAGAATAGCATGAAGCTCACCCCCCTTGTGCTAGAGGTGTTTGGCAATGAGATCTCCTGACCAGGGTGGGCCGCAGTGGTGCCTGGGTGGGGCTCCTCCTCCGGGGCCCCGTACCCAGGCTCTGGGCTGGCTGCAGCCCAGCAGTGCCTCCTGCCCTTTCTGGAGTTCAGTGCTTTCACCGCCATCACCCATGTCTGTCTGGCCCATTCTTTCCATTGCCCATCCGTCCCCCTTTCCTGCAGACCACAGGTCAGCCCTGTCCCTTGAGACTTCAGTTATGAGAGACTGCTACTCATTTGACAAAGAAACTCAGGTGGGAGAAGAAAGCAGAGGCTGCAGGCAGAGCCCTGCCTAGGAATGTTCCCACTCTGAGGGGATGCTGCTTGTGTCAAGGGATGCAGGCAGGAGAAATGTGCCCATGCCCCCGGGATGGCTACCTGTACCTCCCCTGACTCCAGCCCCCATGCCCAGAGCCTGGTGGGAAATCCCCTCCCCTGCCATAAAGGGTACATGGCCTACCCACAATCCCCTGCGTCCCACTCAGCCTGCTGCCAGTGTGTGCTATTCCATCCCTGGGCAGTAGGGCCTCCATCCTCTGCCATTGTATTCACAGACTCATTCACTGCCAAGATGACCGAATACACTACCACACTGGTCAATGAGTATTCACCTAGCACCATAGTTCCTATCTTTGAGGTTTTGTCATGGGAACCCCCAGGCCAGCACCTCTAGGACAGACCTTCTTCTCCATTACCAGAACCACTGACCTAGAAAACGCCTGAGGATAGGCCCCAGGGGGTGGAACCCAGGCCCGAGTAACAGAGCTAGCCTCCCAGCAGGACCATGAATGGAGACCCCTCTGTCCTTGTCATCAAGCCCAGGGTCCCCCAGCCTGGAGATAGTGAGATCTCTTCTCTCACCTACAGATGTGTCCGAACCAAATGTCCCCAACTTTCAGAAAATTCCCAGCCCTGTCTTCACCCCTGACCCTGCTAGTGCCTTACCACCTGCCTTGGAAAGCGCCTCTTTCTTGGGCCTGACCCCCTGGTCACCAAGGATGTCCCAGAAGTCATCTCAGCTTTTCCAACACCCCCATTTGGATCAGCAGTGCCCCCTCACTTACTTGGGGGAGCTACCTTTTCTCCACCTGGTAGAGGGGGATGGAGTAAAACCAAGAGCTACCTGGGTGGGCCTCCAAGCTTGCTTTGCAGATAGAAAACCAGACAGGAGTATTCCACACTCAGGGGTTAGGTGGAGAGGTGGTCAGAATGTGTGGGTTACAGTGATATGGGGCCAGTTCCCTCCTGATTCCCTCATTCCACCACCCCAAAGTCAGTGGAGACCTGTGGAATGGACATGTGATGGGCTAGGTATGTATCTTCAAACTCCATCTCTTCCTCTGCAGCAGCCCAGCCCGGGAGTTTGGAGCCCTGCCCTTGCTCACCCCCAAGCATACCCCCTTCTGATCATGGGTTGTAGGTGTGCGGGACCCACGCAGAAGAGGTTCTCATGAGGGGGGCTCACAGAAGGCCCTTCAAATACACGTTAGATTTGGGGAACACGGGCACATTGAAAGCATCAGTAGAGTGCGAAGGTCAGTGGGAATTGAGCCCCAGATGTGTCCTTCTATCTACATTTTTTTTAATTCCCTAAAAATCCTGGGGAAAAAATTAACATTGCAAGAACCATTAGTGCCCACCTGGCCCTGTGTTTCCCAGAATTCAATTGGAAAACATCTGGGGCCACGTTCCTGTATTGCATAACGGCAGTCAGAAGGCTTCATGTAGGACTCATTGGATGAGGGCTGTTTTCAGGGTTAGACTGTGTTCTAACACTGAAGTGGCAACACCTGTGTTAACGATTTATGAGTGTGTGTGTGTGTGTGTGAAAATACTGTGCATTGATCATTGTCACTCCACAAAAAACTAGAGAAACCTTTGATTTTAGCTGCAGAACACATTGATCCAGCTCGCTATTCAATGGGAGGGAAAGTTTGAAAATCGCTAAGCTACTGCAACCCCTTTATGACGAGAACCTGCCATTAGATGAGAGTGTGGCTTACTGGGGCTCTTATAAGTGGAAACATCCCTGTGCCCAGCACGTATAGTCCTGGGCCGATTTATATCAACCCTGTTTCCCACTGCTCTGGTAGTTGACCCAAGATTTGAGGAAGTCCTGGATTTTAGAGCAAAACTTCATCTGGGACTTTCTTTTTCCCCTAAGTAAAAAACCCACTCACCCATCCAGAGGAGGATGGCAGGCACTCCGGCCTCCCTGAGTGAGGCCTGGCTTTTGGGCTCTCCACCTCAGCCCTGTGTGTTGCTGTTGTCTTGTCAATAATAATTGTCTGTCTTTGGAACGCCTCCCTCTCTGTCCTCTTCCCTTCCTGCCCTCTCCATGAAACTAACGGGCCTGAGAAGGCCAGTTACTCAGCCCAAAGGCCCACCACCACTGAGGGAGCCCCCTAAAGGAAGCCTAGGAGCCAGGAGGAAAATGAAACAGGGCCAGGTAGGGTTGAGAAGCATCTAGTTTGCTTATTCTGAACACACAAAGGTAGGCATTGAAAGAGCTCACACTTCTGAGAGGTATTTTATTAGACATGAAGGGGAAATGGACAGACACCAAAATGGAAAATCAGCAAGATTTCCTGAGATAGGCCAATCCTCCAGCTGTCTAAGTGGAAGAAAGTAGGGAGTCCCCGCCAGGCCAACAGAGATAAATGACGGATATTGCAGAAGTTAGACATCTAAAGAGCCTGCCTCCAAAGAGGGAAAAAATGTTTTCCAAGAGCTTGTCAAATAAACCAATGAAAATGCTTTGCCAATGGTGATAAAAGTGGCTCATCCTTACACAGCATTTGTGACGAAAACCGCTGTAAATAAACGCCTCGTGAAAACCAACCTGCTTGATCTTTATGGGGACCCCATGAGAGATGGGCTATTGTGGTTCCCATGTGGCAGAGGGGATTAGTTGCCCAAAGCTACACAGGTGGTGCGAGAGAGGTGGGGTTCAGACCTGGGCAACAGTCTCTGGAAGCCTTTTGTTAATTGCAATGTTCTACTGCCCCCTATAGAGTTAAGCGGTGTGGCAAATGATTGCAGTCTTGCTCAGCACCCTAAGGAGAGTTTCTATTTAGAGATGGGGAAACGGGAGGTGCCGGATCATAGGGTGCTCTACCCCCAGGAAGCACCCAGCCTAATGTGTTAATCTCAATCGGGTGTGGCACTTACCAAAGAACATCAAGAATGAAACCACGGAACTACTGGTAACAGTAGTCCTTGCATTGGAGACAGCGGTAGGCCGGCGCCACGGAGTGCTGCAAGTATCCCTGTGCAGAAATATGACTCCGTGGGGGCCCAGAGGAGTGAGACAGATATAGCAAACAAGAATTCCCAACCAAGGACCCCGCACTGAGAGCTGCAAATGGCAGAGACCCGGGGCATGCTTTACTTTAATGTGCAGAACCATCTGAGAAGATTTCAAACCACAGGCTAAGACAACCCAGTGGAATGAGATAAGTCAAGGGACTAGAGAGTGGACTGGAGGACTTTGTCATGAGAAATGAGTCGGCTTAGAGAAAGGAAACCCATAGTTAGAGATGATCCAGAAGAGCGAGCACGCAATCCCGGAAACATCAGAATCAGACCAAAGTGAAGAATGTTCTCACACCAAGCTTTTGTTCTATGCCTCACTGTTGATCCACTTAATTTTTTATTTTATTTATTTATTGGCTTTTCAAGACGGGTTTTCTCTGTGTATCCCTAGCTGTCCTTGTAGACCAGGATGACCTTGTACTCAGAGATGGGCCTGCCTTTGCCTCCTGAGTACTTGGATTAAAGACGTGTGTGTCACTATGCCCCACTTAAATTTAAAATCACTAAAATCAAACCAAAGACAGGGCATGGTAGTACACATCTTTAATAGCAGCATTTGGGAGGCAGAGACAGGCAGATCTCTGTGGGTTCAAGGCCAGCCTGGCCTACAAAGTGAGTTCCAGGATGGCAATGGCTACATACAGAGATTCTGTCTCTAAAAAACAAAACAAAACAAACAAGCCATTTCTACTAGGAATTACAAAAAAACAAAACAAAAAACAAACAAAAACCTCTCATAACTCTTGTGGGGGGGGATAATCAAACGAAAGTAAGCATTCAGTTCTTCAATGGGGCAAGCCACAATTCTCAGAACTCCCAGTGCTCAGAACTACCGTTGGGGCAATGTGCATCAGAACATTTTTATTATCACAGAAGTGGTCTACCCCAAGCAGTTTTCCCTAGTGCTTTGTTTTTGGAGACAGAGTCTTACCGTATAGTGCAGGATGGCCTTACTCTGTAGCATAGACTTGCTATGTAGTGCTCCTGGTGATGCTCATGGCACAAGGGGAACCTTGGTGGATCCCATGACGATGAGGGACAAATACTCCATGCAGGCAGAACTTACACGGGAAGCAAGCTTTATTGGGGGAGGGGAAGGGAGTGGGGGAAGGGAAGAGAGGGGGGGAGAGAGAAGAGACAGACAGACAGACAGACAGAGATTTATCTGCCTCAGAGAAATGTCAGAAAAGAGAGTGGGAGTGGGCTAAGCTTGTCTCTTAAAGGGACCTTTGCACCTGTGTACAGAGCCAAGGTACTGCTTGCCATGTGTGCAGGGGTGACCATTCTGCTAGGTCCACAAGGGGCAGGACCAGGTCTGCCTGGATGATAACAGCTGGTAGTATGAGAGAGGGGATGTTGTGGGCAGGGCTCACTGCTGCAGACAGTCGCTGGAGTTGCCATATGCTTGCCATATACTGGGTAGTGCTGTGAGGGGTTCGAGGGAAACAGATCCTAAAATGGAGTTTGAAGGCCAGGGTTTTACTGGAGAGAGGTTGTGTGGATTAGCATGAGACAGGACAGCTGGGCAGGGAAACATCCCAATGAAAGTCTTAATGCCAATCAAGGGGAGCCTGGAGCTGGACTGGACTTTGACTGACCTCCTATGGAGGAAGATGAATTTTCTATTTCTTTTAATTAATTAAATGTGTGTTTTACATCCCTCTTCTCTTCCCATCTCCCCCTACCCTGGTTTTCTTTTATTTATTTCAGAGAGCCATTAGGTGCAGGACATCCCCCAGAATCAAGGGTGACCTTGACGTGACCTTGAGATATGCCAAGGACTGGTAGGAGTGGATCGTATTTCTTCTCATTCTATGTAGCCCAGGCAGGACCTTTTTCAGAGGACTGCTCTGGCTTGGGGAGAAGGTAGACTACTCCAGAGGCTTCTTCACAGTTCTGGGGAAGGAGACACCTTCCCCCTCCACCTCCACTCAGTTCCTTGAGCCCCATCCAGCAGTCAAATCTCTGAAGACTTATCTTGACACTCACCACTAGGGGGAGTTACTACCCTACAGCAAAGCCCTGAGGTCCTGCTGCTGAAGTCACCTGATGGTGTTCCCCTCCTCTTACCCCAATACATTGGACACCCCAAGCAGGGGCCTCCCAAGGTCAAGACTTTGTACTTGTTGCCTCTGAGCCCCACCTGTGCTGAGGGTGAGAAGCCTGGGGTTGTCGGCAAGCCCCATGGTGTGTTCTTTCCAAAGTCTGAATGTACAGGCCCACTAACAGACCTGTAGCAGTGGAAGCCACCGAGAGTAACAGTTAAGGGCGGAAATTACACCCAGCCCTGAGGTTGTCGCATGATGTTTTTGAGCCTTGGTTTCTCTCTCTGTAAAATGGTAGCAGTAACAGTAGCCACCTTGGTTGCTATACATCAACCTATGTAAAGAATTCATCACAGTGTCAGGCAGGTAACCATCGATCAGAAAGGCCTGACAGCACATTGTCGGGCTTCAGGGTGGTCAAATAAATGTGTACTAAAGAGGTGACATTGTTCCCATGCTCTGACCACGGATTCTTTCTGGGTCACTTGATTGTCCTCAGACTGATGTCGATAGCCTCTTCTTCAGATCTCAGCCTCTTGCTAGATGGGGGCTTCTTAAGTTCCCTAATTATCAGCATCTAAAGAATGTGTCATTGGGCCATTTGGCCACCAGAGGGCAAGTGAGTCATTTAATGAGAGCCAAATTGAACCCAACTGAACTGGATTGTTGGGGGCTAGTGGGTGGAGTCTACACTGGGACACAAAGAATATGGTTACTGCCATCCCCAACTTCTTCAGTTACATCCTTTCTTTTCCAACTTCCCCCCCACACAAACCAACAAATGAAGGAAAACCAAAACCAAAGCCAGCACTCCTTAACTCCTGACTTCATGATGTGTGGATTACACCCATAACCAAGGTGAACAGGGGCAGCTCAGAGGAGGCTCTGCATGAGTGTCGAGAATCAGATTTGATCTGTCCCCTTCGCTCATGCCGCGCTCACATGTCCCAGGGTGCGCTGAAATCCCACCTCCATCTCTCCAGGGTCCTCGTGTCCCTGCACCAGATGTTGAAACTTAAGCCACTGCTGTATCCAACAGGTTCCTACTCCCCATGTGTGCATCTCGGAGCCGGCCAGTCCAGGAGTTCTCAGGACCCCCTTGCCTCTTGAAAACAAGGAACCCTGGGAACTTTTACTTGTGGTCATTACATCTAGCTGCTATGTGTGATGGAATATAGCTGTGATCCTGACCCTTAAGAGATGGAAGCAAAATGGTCAAGAGTTCAAGGCCAGCCTGAGCTGCATGAGACACTGTCTCAAAAAAAAAATCTGGCACTATTTATGATGTTAGAAATCAAAACAGAGAAATTTAAAGTACATACTCACTAAGTTTCTAAATATACTAAAAACAAGTCTGTTAGACATTAATATTAAGCAATTATAATTTAAAATGGCCATTCTTTGGAGCAGCACTAATTTAAGACAATGATATTGTTTCTGGAAGCTCTTTAATGTTGGGCTTAACGGAAGCTGGCTGTATTCTTTATCAGCTTCTGCATTCAGCCTGGTGTGGTATCCCAAGTCATCATGGAAGCCTGAATTCAACCTAGTGTGGTATCCCATGTCATCATGGAAGTCACTTTGGGGAAAGGGAGGCACTGTAAATTTGGGAATAGGAATAAAAAGGGTAAATAGTGTCTTCATAGTGTTATTATAAAAAGAGTTGCAACCTTTGCTTTTGCAGGGTCTCCAAGACTCACAGGGGCCCCAGACAGCACTTTGGGGCCCATTCTGTATGCCTTCTGCACACTGCTCCCCTGCAGAACCAGTCCTGTTCTTTGTCCTTATAGTTCCCCAATAAGATGAATTCCTTTTGCTCCTTAAGTCTCCGGCTCAGACTTCATGATTTTCCCAGATTCCCCATCCTGGACTCCCATGGTGCCATAAAGCAGGTGTGGCATGTGTTTCAAGCTTGTTTACCAGCCGGGAACAAAGCAGGGCCCCCATAGATCCAGCTGAATGCGTGGATGGATGCGCATAGCACAATGTGCCACCCACATCCATGAGTCTTGGAAAGATCTATTTTTCACAATAAACCATCAAGTTTAGATAGTTTTTCTGGATGCCAGCAGGGTGTCATAGGTCTGTAATTCCAGGGCTCCAGAGTCCATGTTACTTCAAAACCCGTGTAACAACTACCTCTCTGTAAAGCCTTCTCTGTATCTCTCTCCTCTATTTGGCCAGACTAGGTTTCATACCAATTGAGAACTCAACATTCAGATATTTGTATCACGCTAACAATTTATCCAAGGCTGCTTGAATCTTCTGACTCCTCCTTTTGTCATCCAGGAGTCTCTATTTTTTTTCAGATTTATTTTTTATGTGTATGCATATTTTGTCTGCATGTACCTATGTGTACCGTGCGCTTGCCTGGGTATTAGATCCCCTGAGACTGGAGTTACGAATGGCTGTGAGCCACCATGTGGGTCCTGGGAATCGAACATGGATCCTCTGCAAGAAGAAGTGTTCTTAGCCTCTAAG